CGAGCCGAAATTTTCTTCCGAATCGGTCGCGTTCGAAGACGGTGAGCGCCCGAATCGATGCCTCGTCGAACGCAGCGTTCGAGTCGAGCAACTCGCGCGTATCCAACGAATCGACCGAAACGCGGAGAGCACCGTTCGACGCCGAGTTTCTTCCGGTTCGAAAATCCTCGAATGCGTATTTTCAAGCGATACCGAGACCGGTCCCCGAATCCTATTCGCAGAGCCGAACCGGGCCTGTTCGACGACCTGGTAAAAAACAAGACGCGGAAGACCGGCTCGTTGCTCGAGATTATCCGTTCCACGGCCGTCGGCGGCGCGAATCGTCGCGCTCGCGCCGTTTAACCGGAGCCAGATGGTTCTCGAGGAGGATCTCGCGTCTCGTGGGACGCGGGCCTCGCTCGCGATCGCGTGAAACCGACACGACGCGACGCGACGCGACGCGACGGCGACACCCGGCACACCCTCTTTCAGCGGTACACCCTGAACTCGAACGGATGCGAGGACCCGCGTAAACTCGCGCGTCGCGGGAGATAATCCAGCGATTTCGAGTCGGCAACCGGGAACGCGAAGGGACGGGAGACGAGAGACGAGAGACGGGAGGCACGGTCGGGTGCGTGCTCGCGCGCGTGGCGCGGACAGACGCGAACGAGTCGATAAACCGCGTCTCCCGATACCAGCTCCGCGTCTTCGAACGTTATCGGTCCATCCTGCGGGCGGATACGCGCGGAGGCCGACGTTCTTCCGCGACGCTGGATATCGGAGCGGAGGCTCCGCGGTGGTCGCGCGTCGCGTACCTCCTGAAAATTTGCCGTTCGACCGTTTGCCACCGTGTACGGCTACGATCCGTCGCCCGAAACAGAGACTCCGACGATTTCTGCTTGAAAATCGTCCCCCGAGAACCGTTCGCTACCATTCGCATCGGCGAACGGGTTTAGCGTATAGTCCGACGGCTTGGACGCCGCTGCTCTATATTATTCTATTCTTGTACGGAGCACTCTGCGACCAAAGATATCGCCGTACCGTTTTCAACCGATTCGAACGATCGAGCCTTTGCCGCGCTTCCAGTCGTTTCTTTAACTTGGAGTCGCGAATTCCGTTTCCTCATAGTTTTTTCCATATCCGTGGGTAAGCAACCGAAACATGGACGGAAACAACCCCGGTTGGAAGAGTCGATTCGATTTAATTGCAACGAGGTAACAACGCGTTACGTTTCTACGATGCGTAAGACGGATTGCCGGTGGACGGGCGACCGAACCGAAAAACAGGGTTCAGCGGTTGAATCGAAAATTTGCCACGTGCCGATGTAGATTGCGTGTCCTCGGTCCCTTCGACGCGGGAAACGTCTTTGGAAAAAGTGGGAAAGCCCCGAGCGGACGTGCTCGAGGCGCGTCCTCGCGTTTCGTTCCGCTTAGCCTCTCCGCGAGAAAAAATATACAACCTCGGAGGGCCTCTCGAAGAGAGCGACCGTTAGGGACGTCTCGAACGACGTATCGCTTACAAAATACGGTCGCGCATATTTTTATTCGTCGCTCGAACGTCGTTTCTCTTCGGCGCTAATTCGAAAGTACGCGCCCTGTGAGTCGCAGCGCCGAGCGTAAAAATCGTCGAACCGTTGTTCGAGACGTTGTAATTGCGAAGGAAATGATGCGGCAACGGGCGCGATCGATCGATCGATCGATCGGCAACGACGAAGGAACAAAAGATGCGTCGTCGGGAAATTGGTACATCGGTGTCCGTCGAAAGTTGCCGGCTCGACAGCGTCGAGTCACGGTGACGCTGCTCCGGGCGCGCGAGCGTTCGCGGATCGCGGATCGATTAAGATCGCCGCGCCGCGCCGCGCCGCGCCGCCGAGAATTCCGTTGGCGGACGCGCGCACGCATGTAGCGAGTAACCGATAAGAATCCGAGAAGCCCGCGTGTGGTCCGTCGCGTCCGTAAATATCCGTTTAATCTACACGCCGCGTCCCATCGTGACATCGTGGCACGGCATCGTGCCGTCGAGGCGCGAGTTCCTCGTACGCCGGGCGCCAGTCGGCGAAGCGTTCGCCCCGACGATGGCTTAATTAAGCGGCACCGGCGTCGACTCGTCTTTCGTCGTCTCGTTCCTACGAATCGCCGGAAACGAACTTGGCCGTCTTGGAAATCTCGGTTTTCGTCCCCGCGGTCCGCGCGGACGATTCCTCGGCCGTCCGTTTGTTCGGTGAAACGCGAGCAGAACTTTTGCGACAGAAATTCACCGAAAACGTTCGTTCGAGAGAAGAGAAACGCGGAGAAAGAATGGTCCGCGAAAAGAAAGGAAAGACTTTGGCTCGAGCACGGGCGAACGCTACGCCGCCCGAAAGCGCGTCGATTCTCGCGTCGTCGACGCGTGTTCGCGCGGGGCCCGACCGGCCGTTGCGCAACGGCGAACGTCGAGAACGACGCGACGGATGGAAAATCGTTGAGCAACGCGCGCGCTCGATGTAGCTTGTCGGGCTTTCCCCCGTCGGCGACGACGACGAAATTGAATTAAATACCCGATAACGACGGACGAGAAGAAGCGCGTTATCCGACCTCCCGTTTCCAGCGACAAGATATATTCCGCAATCGAGTCGAAAGCGTGGCGGAGAAAGGGCGAGAGGCGAGCACGCGAGAGGAGGAGCTCGTCGAAATCCGGGCGGGCGAGCGGCGTGGCGGGGCGGGGCGGGGCGAGACGAGGCGAGACGAGGCGAACGCCGCGAGGCCTGTTTTGCATAAAAATTATAAGCCGAATTAATGTTTTCACCTCCGTAAACGCGTGTACCCGCGCTCATGCGCCACGTAGTTTGCGCTCGGCCGGTGCGTGACTAACGCAGTGGTTTATTGCGCGTTAATACCGATCCGGCACCTCCGGTACTTTCTCACGGGCGGAACACCACCCTTGCGACTCGCCGAAGAATCCGGTCGCTTCGCGCTACCAAAACTTCTTTCTTTTCCTTCCTCTCTCTCTCTCTCTCTCTCTCTCTCTCTCTCTCTCTCTCTCTCTCTCTCTCTCTCTCT